TAATGAATCAGCCATAGCATTTGTCTCCCTTCCCACCCATTGTATAATTAAGCTCATCTGTTGTGTTAACCATTTGAATTTTTTTATTTCATCTCGATAGCACCATATCACTGAATCTGGGTCTTTTAACCAGCCCACCACCACCTTGGAATCCCTTTCAATCACCAGGTTTTCCAATTTCAACTCTTTTGCAATCTGAACACCTTGTAGGACTGCAAACAGTTCAGCCCTTATAGAGTCTCCATTCCCCACCGGTCCTGAAAAAAGTGCTATCAGATTTCCTTGTGACTCCTCCAATTCCAAACAGACCTGGATTGGCTTGGCTACTTCCATCAAAATTTAATTTCAAAAAAAACATCACTAGGAGGTACCCATAACAACCTCCTAGTGAGAGGGAAGTTAAGAGATTAAGAAGAGATATTGATAGGGATAAGAAGTTTGAGGTGAGAGGGAATAGAAGGAAAGGGTTGAAATAGGAGTTGGAGGTGTTAGGGCTGATCTTCAGAATTTAAATGAGAATCCTAAGTTGGAATGTGAGGGAATTGGGTAGTGCCAGGAAGAGAGCAACAATCAAAGAGGTGATTAAGAAGTTTAACCCAGATGTGGTTTTAATCCAGGAATCCAAAAGAATGGAATTCGATTGCAGATGGACAAGAAGTGTGTGGAGTTCTAGGGGGATAAAGTGGGTGACTGCTCCTTCGTGGGGATCCTCAGGTGGGGTTATAACTTTATGGAAGGAAGAAGTTCAAATAGAAGTGGAGGAACTAATAGGTGATCATTTTGTTTCTCTAAAGTTCAGACAGGTGAAAGATGGGTTTGAATGGGTACTAACAAATGTATATGGCCCCAATGACTATAAGCAGAGGAAGAAATTATGAGAAGAATTGAGTGATATTAGGGGCTTATGGGACGGACCATGGTGTGTGGGAGGGGATTTTAATGTAGTGCAGTTCACAGAGGAAACCAACAACCCTAGACAGGGAGTGACAACAAGTATGAGGAAATTCAACCAGTTCATGGATACTTTTGAGCTTAAAGAACTTCCACTCCTAAATAATAACTTTACATGGTCCAACCTTCAATCAAGGCAAATATGCTCTAAGCTGGACAGATTTTTATTCTCGATAGATTGGGAGGAACATTGGGGTAATTTAACTTCTAGAGCACTCCCAAGGCTTACTTCAAATCATTAGCCTATAGTGATATGCAAGAAGGAACTGAGAGGTGATGGACCTACCCCATTCAGATTTGAGAATATGTGGTTGACCCATCCGAGGTTCATTGAGAAAATCAAAGAGTGGTGGGAGCAGTATAATCCAGCAGTAAACTAGGAGGGAATGAAATTCCACAAGAAACTTCAGTTCTTAAAATCACAAATAAAGGAGTGGAATAAGTTGGAGTTCGGAAGAATAGAGGAAAGAAAACAAGTATTGATAGAGCAGATTGAGGAATTGGATATGAAGGAAGAAAGGGGATCCTTTGGGGAGGAAGAAAGGAAGTTGAGATGGGATCTGAGGAGGCAGATGGAGGATATTCTTGTTAAAGAGGAAATAAATTGGAGGCAGAAGTCCAAGTGTAAGTGGCTAAAGGAGGGAGATAGAAACACTAGATTCTTCCATTCAGTGGCAAATGGTAGGAGGAGAAAGAATTTCATATCAAAATTGGAAGTAGAAGGATCAGTCTTATCCCACCCGGTAGAAATTATCGAGGCCTTTGTAAGTCATTTCAAATCCACTTTTAGAAGACCTTTAAATATGAGGGTGTGGTTGGAGGGCTTAGAATGGCCAACATTGAGTGAAGAGAACAGAGAGTGGCTAGAAAAGAGCTTTGATCTAGAGAAGATAAAGGAAGTTGTATTCTCAATGGATAGGACAAAAGCTCCGGGCCCAGACGGTTTCACAATGGATTTTTATCAGGATTGCTGAGAGGTTGTGGAGAAGAGGCTTCACAACCAAGGGATTTTAGACCTTTCAGTTTGGTGAATAGTTTATATAAAATAATTGCAAAAGTCTTGTCCCTCAGGATAAAGAAGATCCTTCCCCTCATTATTACTCCCAACCAGGGTGCTTTCGTGGAGGGAAGACAAATCGTAGATCAAATCCTCATTGCTAATGAGAGCTTGGAGAACTTTAGGAAATCTAAGAAGAAGGGAGTGGTCTGCAAATTGGATCTGGAGAAGGCTTATGATTTAGTTGATTGGTCTTTCTTATTGGAGGTGCTGAGAGGATTTGGTTTTGGAGACAAGAGGTGTAAATGGATTTGGGGTTGTGTTAGGACTTGTCACTATTCTATCTAGGTAATTGGAGTTGTGGTTGACTTCTTTCCTGCCTTGAGAGATATAAGACAAGGAGAGCCACTCTCCCCTTTCCTATTCGCCCTGATTGCTGATGTTTTTGGGAGATTAATCTATAGGGCTGACTCAAGAAATTTAATAAAAGGCTGGCGTGTAAGAAGGGAGGAGGTCCCACTGACACATCTGCAGTTTGCATATGACACAATCCTATTCTGTGAAGGTGGGAATTTAGATTGGATCCAGAATTTGAAATTAGCAATACAACAGTTTGAGCAGATGTCTAACCTCAAGATGAACTTTGGTAAGAGTTGTATAGTGGGAATGAATATGGAGGAGAGGGAATTAAGTGAGTATGCAAGTGTGATAGGGTGTGCAATGTCGGTTTGGTCTTTGAAGTAGTTGGGCCTCCCCTTAGGAGATAATCCTAAGAATGAAAGCTTCTGGAACCCGATAATGGAGAGATGTGAGAAGAGGCTTGCATCCTGGAGGAAAAGTTATCTCTCCTTGGGGGGAAGAATCACCTTGATTAGATCTACCCTAGCTAACCTTCTGGTCTACTTTCTGTCAGTGTTTAAGATCCCCACTAAGGTTTCCAATCTTTTGGAAAAATTAATGAGGAACTTTCTCCAGAGGTAAAAAGCTAGGAGGCCTTGGGATTGGTAACTTTAAGAAAATGAATATGGCTTTGCCGGGGAAATGGTTATGGAGATTTACAATGGAAAAAGATAAGTTGTGGGCTAAGATTGTGGCTAGCATTCATGGGTTGGAAGACAATGGTTGGGATCCTGGAATCGCTACAAGGGCTACAATTGCTTCTCCTGGGAAATCCATTCATGTTTTGCTTCTTGCTTTCTCCCCTTGGGTCAAGTATGGTCTTAACTCTGGTAATCGAATAAAGTTTTGGGAACAGACTTGGGTAGGGGATTCACCTCTGAAGGACCAGTTCCCCTCCTTGTATGCTTTGTCAGACTTGAAAAATGAGCCTATTTCTTCTTTCTTAGGTCCTTCAGATTCCATCTCTGGTTTTGGTTGGAACCTAGGCCTGAGAAGGGCAATTAGGGATACAGACGTGGACAGTATCTTATCTTTGTTGTCCATCCTTGAGAATGTCTTTCTGGATCCTAATAAGGAGGATACTAGAATCCGGACTCCTTCCACCTCAGGTACTTTCTCTTGTACTTCATTTTTTGAAACTCTAACTCAGCATCCTATCACTTTAGGGGTGTCCTTTCCGGTCAAAGAGATTTGGAGCAAGCCCATTTCTCCTCGGGTTGGTAGTTTTTGTTGGGAAGTTTTCCTAGAAAGATCTAACACATCTGATTTACTTCAAAAAAGAGACCCAACCCAACTCTTGCTTACTTCCTAATTGGTGTACTCTTTGTAAAGCTGATGGGGAAACTAGTTACCACCTTATGGCTTCTTGTAAGGTTGCTAAAATTGTTTGAGAGTGGGCTCTTTCACTCTTTGGGTGTTCTTGGAATCCTCCCGAGTGTGTCCAGAGGCTGTTCTCTCCAACGTTTTTCAGCTGGCCTAAGAAGAGAGGGAAGATTATGTGGAGGAGCATTAAGGCAACAGTATGTTGGTCCCTTTGGGAAGAAAGAAATCTATGAATCTTCTCACAGATCCTTGGCAAACCTATTACATCTAATTCTCTTAAGGGCTGTCCATTGGCTAAAATCTATGGGGCAGTTTTCAGACTTTCCTGTGGCCGACTTATTAAGAAACTGGAAAGAGATAGCTACTTCTTCTATGTGTAAGAGCTTTCCACGTCACTCATGGTCCCCTCCTCCCTCTGGATGTATAAAAACTGAATTTTGATGGCAGTAGTTTGGGGAATCCAGGACCTTTTGGGATTGGGGGAGTGTTCAAGAATGAGGAGGGGGTTATTATTGCTTTGTTCTCAGGCCCCATTGGGGAAGGAGACTTTCTCAGGGCTGAGATCCTTGCAGCTCTGGAAGGAATTCAAAGAGCAAGGGAACTAAATATCAGACGCTTGGTCTTGGAAGGTGACTCGAAGGTGGTGATTAGCTGGCTGAAGGAAGAAGACAGTGGCTTGTGGAGATATAACAATGAAAAGAAAAAATTCTGTTGGGTGGGCAGAGACATTGAGATACACTATAGCTGGGTAAAGAGGTCTGCTAACTCACTTGCAGATGGGCTGGCCAAGCAGGGGGTGAATAGGGAGGCTATCTTCTGGGCTAATTTTTGAACTTCTGTCTTTGTATTCTGTTGTAGGGGAGTTAAGTCTTTTTACCTCCCCTGTTGTAACTAAATCTTCTTAAATTTTCACATCTTTAATAAAGTTTTACTGTTATTGATCAAAAAAAAAAAGGTACCCATAACAACCTTGTTTTTGTCTCCTGTACTGAACTAGAAGCCATTGATAACCAGTTCTTCCAAATATCATCAAAGGAGAAATGTCTAAATAGATCCAAAATTAGTAGCCAATGTATAAGTTCGGTCAAAACACAATCCATAATTTCTTCTTTCTTCCAATTATGCTCAATATTCTTATTCACATCATCAAACGCCAAACATTCCAACTGACCAAAAATATGTTAAATATTGTACAAAAATACAAAAAAAAATGTAGGAGTATCAGCAAGTGTCTTGGACTGTCATGAATGCTTGAAAATCCTAATAATTATCGATCACAGCCTTCCAGATAAAAGAAAAGAAAAGAAAACTAGTATGCAAAGGTCCAAACCTTTATGAGAGAAACCAACCGTTGTCTAAGCCCAGCACTGATAAGATCTTCAAGATACTTCTGAATGTCAGCCACAAGATCAGCTTCAAGTCCCTGGTCGAGAACAACAGCCTACAAGGCACCAACAAAATACTTATTCTAAGCTATAATGAACAAGCAACAACAAAAGGAGGGGTCCAAGAGGGGATGAACATTACCCTAAGTAGAGTGTATAGTGCTGTTAATAAATCTCTTCTCTCGGTATACCACAGCCCTGCTGCAAGACGCAAAATTTCCAATGGCTCTCGTCCTAGTAAGCCCCACTGAAGTTGAAACGATATCAATAGGAAATACAAAGATTTGGAAGAAATAAAGAAAAATAAATAAACTGACAAATTAGAATGGACAATGTATGCACGTATATTACCTCTTGATTGGCAGAAACAAGCAAGCGGACACAATCTACTTCATTTAGATGGAGATCATCACTCAACTTCAAAGCCTGGGTTCAAGCATCATGACAAGTACCAAATCATTTTTAGCAAACAAAAAAATATAAAGATAAAAAATAAGGCAGAAAGAAAACAAACTATCAACTTGAAATTAAAATAAAGGATTGATTAAGATATAAAAGATTTTTTTCTTCTAATAAGGATCAGTAAAGAGATAAAAGCCGGTCCCATTGTTAAAATATTAATACAAACTTTAAGGAAACAAAATAGACTTAGTGTACTAAAAATAATTGAGATTCCAACGCATAAAAGACAATCGATTGCAGAAGCCTTAAGTAAACAAGAAAGGAATTATACAATAGCAGGATCCTGATCCAGTAAAACAAAGGGCATGGCTAGGCTTCAGAGATTAAACCTTTCATAAAAATCAAATAAAAACACCAAAAGGAAATATCTATAAAAAAACAAAAAGAAGTGGTTAGTGCATAATAATGGGTCAATGGAATAGCCAATACAGTTAGTTTCTTTCCAATTGAGGCCATCACCTCAGCTCGGGCTGAAAAATCCAATTTATTATATAACTTAACGGGAAATTAAAAAGAAAATGGAAAACAAAAATCTCAGTTGTACAATAGTTGACCAAAGCTATTAATAAGACTTTTCTTTTTTTTTTTTTTGATAGGCAATGAAATTCATTCATCCATTAAAGTTAATCCATATATACAAGAAATATACAAAGAAAAATACAAAGTGTTGAGAGCATAGAAATTATCTCCCCCCTCTTCTATTCAAGTTTCAACTTACAGGACCGCCAAAAATATTTGACTTCTAAGTGCCCCTTGTTTAGCTAAAGTATCGGTGATTTTGTTAGCTGATCTGCACACCAATTGAACCTGTACTTGCATGCCCCTCATTAAGCACTTAAAACTTTTTCATCTCATTCCTGTAGGTCCATAATGTTTCCTTCCTGTTTTGTAGCCACCCTACCATCTTCTCTGAGTCACCCTCTATATTCAATCTATTGATGTTTTAATTCTTTGGCATTTTGTACTCCAATCAACGAGGGTGGGCCTTGGCACAACAGTTGGGTTGCTCCACCGCAACCTGGGTGACAAGGGTTTAAATCTTGGAAACAGACTCTCTGTATGTACAGGGGTAAAGCCACATACATCTGTCCCTCCCAGACCCCGCATTGGCGGGAGCCTCATGCATGGGCTGACCTTTCTACTCCAATCAATGCCACCACAACTTCTGCTCTTAGAAATCTCCTTCTCCAATTGGCCCCAAGTACATTGCTCATACCCTCCCTCCTCCATCCCTTAACAGTTAACACTCCCACTCCAGAAGGCCATGGATTTCCCCTGCTGGCTGCTGCTCCCATCAAAGTTTAACTTGATATAACCTTCTTCAGGAGGTGGCCAATATTCGGAAACTGATTCTTTGCTACTACAAGAAGTTGCCACTTCCCTCCATTGCCTAAAAATGTCATCTGTAGAAAAAAAGAAAGGTGAGAAAAAGTCCTCCATTTTGATCCAATGTGCCACTCTAATTGTAATTCATTCTATAACTACTTCTCTTGTTCTTCTTTTGTCCTCAAAAATCCTTGCATTTCCTTCCTCCCAAATCATCCAAAACTGTTGCTGCCTTTGTTGCTCTCCACATTACCTTTCCTCTTTTATTTGGCCATTTGAAGGTTGAAGGGGCAAGCAGTTCAGCCTTGTTGGTTGGAATTTCCTATCTACACCCAAACAAAGAAAATAACCATTCCCAAGAAGGCCTTTTTTGGACAGTATCAAAAGTGTTAGTCTTACCATGGAAAACCTCCCAACAGAAAGCCCCAATATTGGGAGGAAGTGGCCAACGCCAAATTTCTTTAACAAGAACAAGGCTACAAATGAGTACAGTGGGAACTGAACGCACAGGAAAAAAAAAAAAAGAAGCACAAGAAAAAGAACTTGGAGCAAAAGACCAAGTTCTATTATCAGGGCTTGAAGGGTCCAAGAATACAAAGTCTAACAAAAGCAGCAAAATAGTGATAATAAAAAGTTCTGAGTCACGAATATCCCTTCTAAATCCAATGTCCCAGACTCCCAGTCAAAGCCAATTCCACAAGGAGAGGGAACCACAAACTTAGAGACTTGTTCCCCATTCAAAGAAGATAACTAAAAACAAACAGGAAAGTCACCTTTCAAAGGAGTCTCTCCCAGCCATGGGTACTCTAAAACCCCACAAAGGTACCAGCATAAACATCATACTTAATGCCAGTTAGAAAGATTGGAAGGATTTTAGCAATTTTTTATCAAAAGATTTTAGCAATTGACTTCCAAAAAGAAGCTTTAGAGACCCTTGTAGATAGGCCAGCATCCCACTAATTTGCCAAGAGCCAATGTATGCTAGTAATCACTTTATTCCACAATCTTTCCTTCTCAATGGGCAACCTCCAGAATCAATTCCTCGACAAAGCTATATTCTTATCATTCAAATTTCCAATACCTAATCCCCAAATTCTTTCCTTCTATTTACCACTTCTCAATTTCCTCTCACCCGGTTCCCATAAGAAATTCCTCATAATTTTCTCCAACTTGTCAGCTATTGCCTTCAGGATACGGAAGACTGAGAGGTAATACACATGCAGGTTGGATAAAGTCAACTTGATAAAGTTACCCTACCCCCAACAAAAGGCAATTGTTTTCCCACACTACTAATTTCCTTGCAAATCTCTCCAAAATGAGATTCCAATCTAAAATGCTATTAATAAGATAATGAGAAGGAAAATACCAAATGAATGGCAAAAAGTATTGGATAAATGCGATATACAAAGATTGCCTAATTATAGAAGAATCAAGTTTAGACACCATAGTTATGCAAATTTGATAGAAAACCATTAAGAAACAGCCACAACTTAAAGCAAGTATTTCAGAAAACAAATATAGCTTCATGCCAAGGAGGTAAAATCAAATGATATGACCCCTAAGGAGATAAATGTAGGCCCTTTGAAAACAAAATTAAAAAAAAATACCAAATGAATGGTGAAAAGGCATTGGATAAATCAATGATTTAAAAGCGCAAGGGCCAATTTGCACCCGAGGCGCAATGCGTAAGGCAATGTGCGCGCCTTTTTGAAGCAAGGCGCAAAGATACAAAAAATTTGCTAAAAATAAAAAAAGAATGTCAGAAATTTCAAAAAAAATACATAATATTAAAATAATATTAATAAGAAATATAAACTTAAATTATAAAATTAATGGTTTAAAAAACCTATTATCTAAAATTAAAATACATAAACATAACATGTAAAGCATATTTAAATGAAAATATAAAAATAAAATAAAACATATAAAACATTTTCAAGCATGTAAAGCCCACAATCTCTTTTTTTCCTCAATTGCATTAATTCAAGTAGCTAATGTTGTAAAACATATTACATTCCTGATTCTACGAGTAGCCTTTGTGCCACGCTCCTCGAGGCAAGCCCAAACAAGTCCATGTTAGGGTTATAGTCTTAAATTCTTAATTCTCACACAAAAATAATGATTTTATAATTTTAATTGCCTTTTAAGAAGATATGTTATTAAGATGAACGAATGAACAACATTAGCATCCCCAACCACTATGTTCAAAAAAAAAAGCAAAAAAGCATACAAATTTTCAAAAGGCGCACGCCTAGGCCAAGGCACATCAAGCATGCACCCTTTGAAAGTGCTGCACCTAGGACCTGGGCGAGGCGCCTACCCTAAAATGCGCCTCGCCTATGCGCCTAGGCATGCCTTTTAAATCAATGGGATAAATGTGATGTACATAGATTGCCTAATTATGTGCCATAGTTATGAAACTTTGACAGAAAGTCATTAAATAATGCCTATAACTAAACACAATCATATCAGAAAACCAATATGGTTTCATGACAAGGAGGGAAAAGCGGATGATGCGGACCATGAGGAGATAACAGGTTAGGCCTTTGGAAACAAAAGAATCTGATTAATATATATATATATATATATATATATATATATATATATCAGCAACCAGAATGATATCATGCAAAGGAAAGACAAGAGAGTACCTTCTCATATATGTCACACCAAGGTCAAGACTTGATCCATTTGGTTTGCTTAGTGTTCAATTGATTGGGCTACTTTTTGACTTGTTCTAATTGAGTTTGGAAAGCTGTATTTAGTTTCTTAGGAGAGGTTGCACCTTGTGCCTCTCCTTGGGATGCTTGTAACTCTTACCTGTTCTGATTAATAAATCTCTTCGCTCATTCATTAAAAAAAATGTTCAGCTGATTAGGCATTTACTAAATCAGATCCCATGGGATGTGTTGTTGACACAGCATAATATTGATTGAAGAGACTAAAAATGTGGTTAAATGAAAGCTCAAACTATTAAAAATTCTTCAGAAATTAAAAGTTTTCAATATGTGAAAACTATTGATTAGACTAAGTATGTAGTATGCAAGTTAGTATCATTAAGAAGAAGAACAAGGGTACAGTTAAGATAGCTGACCAAGAGATGCTTCAAAGCAACCATTTAACTGCCCTTGTTCAATAATCCATAATAAGAGAGTAATTGAAGAGAAAGTTGTAAATAGAATTAAATTGAGATGGACCAAGAACGGTTATTTTACTGTATTTAGAGATGCTACACCTGGTTTAGAACTATCAATAGATATTTTGGACGAGTATAGCAAGTGGATCCATCTAGAGTCTATGAGTGGAAAGGAATAGAAGAACTTTCCAGAATAAATATTCCCATCAATAAATCCAGTGTTTTAAAAGCGTAAGGGGCAATTTGCACCTGAGGCGCAAGGAGAGGCACACGCCTTTTTGAAGCAAGGCCCAAAAATACAAAAAAAAAATGCCAAGAATTAAAAAAAAAATTGCAAAAAATCAAAAAATATTAAACATAATATTAATAAAAATATAAACTCAAATTAAAAATAAATATTTTAAAAACCCTATTATCTAAAATTAAAATACATAAACATAACATGTAGAGTGTATTCGAATGAAAATTTAAAATAAAATCAAACATATAAAACATTTTCAAGCATGTAAAACCCACAATCTATTTTTTTCGTCAATTGCATTACTTCAAGTAGTACCTAATGTGATGTAAAACATACTGCATTCTTGTTTCTACGAACCCCTCAAGGCAATCCCAAACGAGTCCATGTTAGGGTGAATGAATGAACAACATCAGCAAATAGGGTGAATGAATGAATGAACATCAGCAAATAATGATTTTATAATTTTAGTTGCCTTTTAAAAATATATTTTATTAGGGTGAATGAATGAACAACATCAGCAAATAGGTGGTTCTCACACCTGGGCTGAAGTGCAAGGCACACTAGGCATGCGCCTTTTGAAAGTGCTGCACCTAGGACCTAGGTGAGGTGCATAACCTAAAATGCACCCCGCCTGTGCACCTAGAGGCGTGCCTTTTAAATCACTGAATATATCATTTGTGAAAGAGTAATTTCCTGGCTGCTTCTTGGGCTGAGGCATGACAAGAACTTAGAGGAATTAGCTGAAAGATGACTGGTTGAAATCTATTTGTGATCCTATTGTCTTCTTATGAGGGTGGACCTTGGCATAACGGTTGGGTTGCTCCAATGCGACCTGGGTGACCACGGTACATCTGTCCCTCCCCAGACCCTGCATTGGCGAGAACCTCGTGCACTGGGCTGCCCTATACTATTGTTTTCTTATCCCCTTCACAGGAGGATAGTATCCCCGGATGAATCATTTAGCATGAAGCAGTGATTGAGATTTGATAGCAGTTCCATGGGCAACCAATGTTCCTTAGGTGTTAAGGTTCATGTCTCTGAATAGGGAAGGAAACATAGTTTTGGCTTATAGTAGTCCAACTGGAGATAGGGATATTGCCATGCTTAGTCAAAGTGGAATTAACAACGATGGCATGTAAAGCTAATTATTATGTGCAGAGGAGAATTGTATAGCTAAGCGCTCCTACAACTTTGTGATGGACCACATGATTTTTGTTTGATGCCCACCTTATGTGCCGCCTTTCCGTAGTTATACTATTTTAAGGACAACTGAATGTTGTTTCAACAAAATGATGGCATTGAACTCCCCGGGTAAAATGATATATTTTTTATACGAAGTGTCGCTTCAGTAATACACTTGAACCAAAGCCGTATAACTCAGGCATGAAATTAAACCCCATAATTGAAAAGAGTAAACTAAAAATCTGGTTTTGTAAATGCATAAGTAGATGCAGATAAACTCACAATCTGAACGTCCTGATCGTCAAGAGAGATTGGGGACGAATCAGGAAGTCTGACTTCCTTTGACTGGACCTGTGACCGGTCCGACGCTTTTGGATGCTGAAAATCAATACATAGACAGCTTAATGAAACTGATAAAGAACATCAAAAATTATAAATTCTGACAACTTGTATGGAACACGTACTGGATAAGAGAGGAGTGATTGGAGAGACGGTAGAGATTTACGAATGACGTGCATTAGCTCGATTCTCTGAGCAGGTGTTGGAGGAGAAGGGCCGAGTAATGCAGACTCGATGGTGGATAATAGTTGCCTCGGAGAAACCATTTTTCACTATTTTCTTTCTCTTCTTCTTTAACAGGCCGAATAAGACAACCGGAGACTGAAATGGTGGCGCTAGGAGAAAAAGAGCGCGAAATGCCTGCAATTTGAGCGGGCTGTGGAAAGAGAAAGAGACTATGGTAAACCCCTAGCTTTCAAAACCCTATGCTCGCTTACATTAGTGAAAAACGGACGGCGCACGATAAAGGAACCTGACGTGTGACGTAGTTGCGTACATATGTTTGGTTTGTGCGACTGGGGTGAGAAAATAAGAAACCTCTGTAATGAGAGTGAGAAATAAACAATTAAAACTGGTCTCCCAACCAAGCACCATACCCCTATAACGGTTAGACACCACCTTCATTGAGATCCCATTCTTTTGCACTCCCTCTCTCTGCACTCGTTTACCAGTTTCGTCCCCACCACTAGGGGTGGCAATTTTTCCCATCCCCGACGGGTATCCGGGCTCCCCGACCCCATCCATGGGAGGTACCTTGGCGGGGTCAGAGTCGGGGAATGCAATCCCACCCCGACTCATCCCCGATTAATATTATATATTATATAAGTATAATAATTATTAATTTATTTATAAAACAGTCAAAACTAAAAAGTCTAAAACATAATTTGAAKAAATCAAGAAAACTTGAAAAGTTGGAAAACCCTTAACCCTCGACTAAACTAGTTACCAGTCTTCATTCTTTTGTCTTCAACAAAGAAGACTCAAGAGAGGCGACTGAACCACAAAACCAGTAAACCCTAGCTTTGTCTTCATCGTTGATTCGTCGACCGCCAACCGTCATCACTGACTGTTGCCACTGCCCACTCGCCCGTCGGACATCAAACAGAGGAGAGGCCAGAGAACCGAGGAAGAGACTTCGTCTTCGTCGCCGACCATCGTCGCCGTCGCTGTCACCATTTGGACTCTCTCTCATCATTCATCATCGACATAAACTCTCACAAGTCCCAACGGTCCTCTCTCTCTCTCTCTCTCTCTTAGTTTCAGGGATTCGGGTCTTTGGCGGGGAATTCATCCCTGTCAGAGTCGGGGATGGGGGTGATTTGGGGGTCGGGAATGGGGAATGTACTCCCGCCTCGAACCCGCCCCGTTCCCATTCCTACCCACCACCGCTTCGAACTCCTTCGATCCTCTTGTCGATTTCATACTTACAGTCTCATTCTCCCTCTGCATCGACAGCTTGGCCGGCATGGTCGCCTCCATTTGGAACTCCTTTAGTCTGTAGTACTCCTTTGTCGTCCTCACCATATCAAACTCCCTTATGCTATGTTTGGTTTAAAGGAAAATGTGGGGAAAAGAAGGAAAATGTAAGGAAACCTTTACAAACCTTGTAGGGGTTTCATACTTTTTTTCCTTCAAACCAGACACAGCCTTAGTGTAAGCTCGATTACCAGTGTCATCCTCTCTCTCTGCATGAATTTTCTTTCTATTACCGTCTCTATGAAAGTGTAAAATTGATATCCAACGGTATACAAATTACTTACAACTGAACATTGATATTGGGTGGACTTATTTACAATAAAGCATCAATAATTCCATTGCTTGGTTCCTTTATCCAAGTTACAACGTTAGTAATCCCTTTGGAGGAATAACGCCTCAAGTTGATAAATTAAAAAAAAAAAAACTTCTTCGACTGGGTTCTCAGGGGGAGTAACGCCTTATATGATGCTTTAGATAAGGTTGGGGCTGTCAAAGAACTTTTTGTCCGGGGTTGTCCCGGGCTAAGACTTGGGAGTTAATTTGTAATCTTCCCTGTTTTATTTTTCTGTACTTTTCTTTGCTAGTTTGGTGTGGTCGATTTGGGCAAATGTGGTGATGGACTTGGTACTCTTTATTTGCTTCCACTTAATGAAATTCTATTATTTATCAAAAAAATAAATAACAATACTAGATTGAATGTTGAGCCATCATGTAGCTGGTTGATTGACAAAAACAAGGCAACATGGCCATTATCAATATGGGCAAGACGACAAATAGACATGTGGCTAGTGAGAGAAATGAGCTCTTTTATATATGTGTGCAAAAATCAGCTGCAATGGCAAATGGTTTTATAGATGGGTCCTTAGAGACTGCAACAGATGATAAGAGAAACAATTGCTTTGGCATCCAATATGAATTGTTCATTCACATAGACTCCTCATTTAGGGAGTAGGGAACGATTTTATGGGAATATTATAGTCTGGCATTGTTGTAAATCTAACTTAGGGCCTGTTTGTTTGTTCTGAAATATGACATTTGAAAGTGCAATAATTACATTAAGAGGTATATTGGTATTGGTGAACTTTTATTTCCTCTGAACTCTAAATGCATATAATGTTGTTATGAATTATGAAAATGATTAAATATCCATTTTGACCTCATATATGAAAGTTTTTGTTTGTCTTTTTTAAGGTATCATTAGAAAATAAAAAGTTGTATTATTGCACTTTAAATGATAAGATATAAGAGGAAACAAACAACCATTTTTCTTTTAAAATTAAAGGATTCCTCTTAAGAGATAAAAGTTAAGAGGAAACAAATAGGCCCTTAAATGCAAATTGTCTTTGACATCTTATGCTATTTGTATCTATCAAAGTCAATGAGATCCACTTCACCATATTTACTAGCAGTCATCACATCTTGTGCTACTTCTACTAATGAATACTTCATATTTGGATTTTCAATATTGTTTTATGGTGCATTTGTCATGAACCTCGAGTCAAAATGCCTTGCAATTCATTATGGGTTTTCACCATACTGTAACCTGGAGTCAAAATCAATAGGTGAAGGAATAGGAATGGCAATGGGACGGGGATGGGGAGCCTTCTCCACTAACGGGGATAAGGTTATCTCCATTCCCACAGGGATCCCCATTCTCCGTGATTTCTTATAATGTTAATCATTTTGTTTTTATTTTTTATTTTATTTAAAAAATAAAAATAAAATAATTAAAATTTATAATTCTATTAAAAAATATTCAGACATATTCAACCATATTTTTAAAAATATTAATATATAAATGTATGTATACATGTATACATATATATTAATAGGGATCCCACAGGCAGGGAGTGCTCTCTCCGTCCCCGCTAACGGGGATGAAAATTTCCCCATCCCTATCCCCGCGGGGGACAATCATCCCCGCTAATGAAAAAAATTGCCATCCCTATAAAACAATTACCTAAGATGATAGAAATGTCTATTGACCTAACTAATAGGAATATCTTAGTACTTATGATTTGATAGAGTGTATGACACTGGTTAGAGTGAAGTGGTAGGAAAGTATTTATTTTTGTCAGCTGCAAACTTCTTTTTTTATTTTTTGGTAACAATATCAAAAGGGGTTTTATTGCTGAAAATGAAGTAAAAGGAGAAGGATTACACCCTATCATCTACAGGTGCAACATTTGATAGAGGGTATGGCCATGTTCTTTGTTATGCTTTACCTGAAATTTTATCTTCTATTGAAGGCTGAGATGATAAATCATTTACTACTTGAACTTGGTACCTTACATAATTATACGTACCAACTCACCTATCTGGAATCTTTTATCGGTTCATCTAAAACTATTCTATTGGACGCCAACATTTTCCTCTGGCCTTCTACTAGGTACTAGGTAGTACCGTATTTTAAGTTAAAAGGTCGTAGAGTTTAAAACATACAAAGACAGGTTTGTTGCCGTTTGGCCAAACTGGTTTGGAAACCTGCCCTAATGATAAGAGCATCATCCCATGGTTCACTAGTTTGCATATCAAAAAATGTATGTCTGTAATTTCTCATAATTCATAGGAAAAAAAAAAAGAGAGATTTCATTGTAAACACCTTGCAGATTAAAAAGGAACCACAGTTCGAATTTCCTCTTCTGATAAACCACATCGGCAGGCACATCATTGCTAGGTCAGATCCGCGTTCAAGAAAGCGGCGAACCGTGGGGGGAAGCAAGAATTTGAAACGGTAAAAGCAGATAGATGAGACCCTTCAATTATTTCGTTTTGGAAGGAATACAAATATAAATATGCATGGTGTAAATACATAAAAAATAATATAAAATACAAGGTTTTGTACTGTACATATTTTTATTTGTACTTTTCAAAACCGAGCCTTAGGCTTAGTTTGGAAGGAGTACAAATGCAAATACTTAGAGTGCAAAACCTTATATTTTGTATGTATTTGCATTTATACTCTTTCCAAACCGAGTCTTGATACAAATGCAAATATGTATAGTATAAATACATACGAAATAATACAAAATATGAGATTTTGCACTCTACACATTTGCATTTGTACTCCTTCCAAATTGAGCCATATTGCTTTTTGACATTCCAATTGCTGATGAAATAAGACTAAAGCTCCAAGCCCTAATGAACATTCAATTTTGTTCTATCAATCAAATTGGTCATTTTTGGGCAATGAAGTTATGCAATCTATTCAGTAGGCTTTCACCAATCCCACATTTATTGTTAGGTTAAATGATACTCACTAGTTTGATCCCTAGAAAGGAGAGGGAGGGGGAGTGAAGGATCTAAATAAAAAAATAAAGACACAATGAGTTAGTTTTCTCATGAAGCTTGACCTAGCTATAAAGTGTAGCTATAAAGTGTATGACATAATTGAGTGGTTTTTGCAATATAGTTATAAATTGCATCTCTACCCTATTTTGCGATCGTCTTGCGTAATATATACCGAATCAAAGGAGCAAGTTATTCAAAATACAGGCACAAGGATATCTCTTGTCCCCTTACTTCTTCATCTTATCCATTGATGTATTGTCCCGCTTACTTTTGCAAGGATAGGAAAGTGGAGCCCTAAAAGGACACTATTCTGACCAGGGAGATTACAAATTGAAACATGTCTCATTAAGGTTATACTCAAATTTTATTGTTTATGGGAAGGACCGGAGGTAAGCTATTTCAAATATTCTATTCGATTTAGTAGAATGCAATATCCCATGCCAAATTGATCTAATTTGCAATATTCATTCCAAATTTAATGTTTGTCATATAATTTGAATAAGTTATTTAGCACCCTTGACACAAACAAAATGAGTCCATATCTGATCCGACCATGGTCACAACATTGTCTTGCAATCCCAAATAATGAACTATTATGTCATGCCTTGAAACTTAATCCCCATTTCCCATCTTGAACCTCAAAAATTATGATAGGGGGATCTTCTTTTACATGTTTCTAA